GGGGTGACAGCCACCTCCCCAGCCTCCCCTGCCTGCCCCCCTGGAGCCCTCCTCCCTCCCCGCTGCCTCCCCGTGTGGCCGTGCATTCAGCAGCCAGACTGCACTGGGCCGCACTCCGCTTCCTCTGGGCCTGGGTGGAGGAGGCCATGCCAGTGGCCCATAGGAGATGGCCCCATGAGCACCCAGGCTCACAGTATTAACCTCGGGAAGTGGAGAAAAGTAGAAAGAAGAGCATCGCCTGTAACTTACCCCCGATCTCTGACGGCCTAGTGGATAGTCTTCGAGTCTTTCTTTCTGCATCCCAGAGTTAGAGCAGAACTCTTCCAACGAATTTGTATTCCTGTGGCGTTTTCTTTTTTTTTTTTTTTTTTCAGTTAATTTTTAAGTTTGCCTTTGTGTAACTGTGAACTCTTCTCAGGTGTCACTTCATCTCCCAGAATATTCTTCCACAGCAAATGCATGCCAATCCCGTCCTGACTGCCCTCCCACGGGTCTCAGCACCCTTGTAACTCCACAGGCCAACGCACCTCCTCTGTGGTGCACACAGACCTTGGGATCGGGTAGCCTCACAAGTCCAGCTCTGCCTCTCCAGACCTGTGTGACCTGGGGCCTGTCACTCTCCCGGGCCTCAGTTTCTTCCACACTGGGCTGTGGGGGTCAAGTGCCCACACGCGTAGTGACATCTGTGTATACAAATCTCAGGTTGCTTATTGGGACGGAATGCCTAGAAGTAGGTGGCTGGGTCCATGTGGTGACCATTTGGGGAGCTTAGTAGCCAGTGCTCACCCAGCAGGGTCTCAGAGGGTCTCTTCCAGCACTTTTCATTCGTAGTATTCTTTGAGCCCCTCCCGTGAGCCAGGGAGTGTTCTAGGTGTTGGGCTTGCAGCGGTGCATGCAGAGACAAAAATCCCTGCCGTGGTAGGACGTGCATACAGCAGGGGCAGAGAACAGACATCAAAATGAGGAACTTAACAGCAGTATGTCAGAAGGTGATAATAGCTATTGGAAAAAAATAACTGGGTGGGGGGGTTGGGGCAGGAGGGGATGATAGTGGTCAAGAAGGCCTCACCAGGAGGTGTCATTTGCACAGCAATTAGAAGGAGGCGGGCCTGGGAGCCACTGGAACTCCTGGGGCAGATCTGCCAGCAGAGGAACCAGTGAATGCAAAGGCCCTGAGGTGGGAATGCACCTGGTGTGTCAGGTGAGGGGGACAGTTCAGAGACACAATGCAGGCCAGCTCGGGTGGAAGAAGAGGGATGCAGAAGTCAGAGGCCAGGAGCTCCAGACATGCTCCCAACGTCAGGGACCATCCCAGGAGGGGCGACACATGGCTACCCAACCCATGGGGCCTCTCGAGGGTGCTTCAGGGGGAGGTCCCTAAGAGAGGACGGTAGCTCCGTGAGAGTGGGACCGTCCTGCTTGCCTCTGTATCCCCAGGGCGCACAGGAAGTGTGGGGAGCCCTGGTGGAGGCTGGGCGGGTGGACATCCCTCACCACTCTGAGCCCCCAGAGGTCCCTGGGACCCTCCCTGATTTGGGCTCCCGAAGAGCCTGGCACACAGGGAGCACTATGGGGACTCGGTAAGCTGCGGTCACCCTGTGGCCCCACCAGCATGTAGCCACACGTCCTCATCCATACTCGAGCGTCACACTCATTCCCACCCAGCACTCAGACTCCCTTTGCATGCAGACCCTTGCCCAGGTCTGCGTGCGGCCAGTCCCTGTCACCTGGCCCCCGTTCGGAACTCTTCCTCAGAAAAGCCTGCCCTGGGTGCAAGCGACCTGGCCATCCTCCCCTCCTGGTGACACAGCACTTTTGCTTCCTTGATGGCCTCAGTGGCTATCTGGATTATCTTGCTGGCTTGTTTCCCCTCTGCCTCTTCTCGGACTAGTAAACTCTGTGGGGGCCAGGCCCTGGTCTGCGTGTTCACCGCTGTCATCTCCAGTCCTAGAGCCTCCTGTGAGTGTTTTTCACTGAAAGACACAGGGGCAGGTTGGGAGAAGCCCGGCGATTAGGTGGGCAGCAGCTCCGACCCCCGACGCCCTGACCTGCCCTTCATTTCCCTGCTTTGGCTGTTTGGCTAAGGGGAGGAAAAAGCCACTGCAAAACGAAGCAGCTCCCAGCGACGTTTTCCGCAAATCCAACAGCTTCGGCAGCACCAGAGAACAGGCCCATGTTGGGGAGGCTTTCTGGGCATTGTGTCCAGGCCACCCCAAATGGAGCAGAGGTAAAGGAGCCTGACCATCTCAGTAGAGCAATTAAACGGCCGCATGTTTGCCTGTGCCAGATAGATTTTCTGGCTCTGCCTGCTTTGGGCCGTGTGAGGTATGCACCGTGTGTAATGAGAGCCAGCGCGGGCGAGATGGACCGCCGATTGGGCCACGCCTGTCTCCCCAGCCCGGCGCAGACGCCGGGGAGCCCCGCGCCTCTTCAGCCATCAGACCTCCTGGCACCACAGGGAGACGGGCCGCCCATGCCATTTGTCAGGGTCTGGTGCCAGCCACCTTCTCTGTTTGCAGAAGGAAAGCCAGGACTCCGATTCAGGGAGGCAGATACCTGCAGGCCTGGTGCTTGCTTGGGGGCCTGGCCCGGGGCCATTCCCACACCCCATCCCAGAGGCACGCAGACCAGCTGGGTGTGGGGCCTGTGATCAGACACCATGCTGCGCAGCCAGAGGGTGGCTCCCCATGCTAGGGGCCCCACAGGGTCCTAGCGTCCCAGAGCCCCATTCACATTGGCCACAAGTCCCAGCCTTCTTGGGCAATGCAGGTGGTGCAGGCTCTGAGAGGCCTGTGGACAGGGAGACAGAGTCCTTCATGGAGGAGGCAGAACTTCCCCAACAGACTGTACCGTGTCCCTTCAAGCAGCCTCCTGGCCACCTTTCTGAACATCAGGGAACTGCAGGGCCAGTACAGGATGCTCCACAGCTGATGGTCCCCTGCACAACCATTTTCAGGCGTCTGCTTAAGGGGTACCCCCACTGAGAGCCGGGCTGGCCGGCATTTGCCATCAGAAGCAAGCCCAGAGTTCAAATCCTCGCTCTTCCAGACCCTCTGTGGGGCCTGGAGGAGCCCTCCATGGGGCCCTCTGTCTTCTCATCTGTAAGATGAAGGGCTTGCTGACATCTTCAGCAAGCATGCATGAGTGCCTGGTCTAAGCCAGAAGAATCCACCCACCGCTACCGCCCAGAGCCCCCAGCTGGTTAAGACACGATGTGCAAAGGTCCTCCAGAGCTGCACATCTGCCTTTTCGTCTCAGGCAGACAGCTGGCACCCAGCCAGCACTGGGGCAAAGGAGGACGCCCTTCACGTGCTGGCAGATGCAGATCAGGGCGCCCCGGGGCATGCAGGGAGGGGAGCCCTCCGCCTGGTGCCTACCCCCAACTTCCCACCAGCTCTAGACACCCGGCCTCTGGGTCCACTGGCTGATGCGACCCCTCTGTGCCTATTAGAAGTAAGTGCCCTCTCTGGGGGACACAGGCCTGCCAGGACCCCTCTTTTAGCAAGCACAGTGTAGGCTGGACTCCACCCCACTGGCCTCTCCCCAGGGGAAGAAGGGTTGGACCCAGCTCTCCCCGTAGCCGCTCCAGGAGCTGCCGCCCGCTGGGCCTCCCTGCCCCATGCAAGTCTCACGGTGCCCCCTCAGCTCACCCCCCAACAGCCCTGCCAGTCTGCTCCCCCCAGGTTCCCCCAGTGGGGTCGTGAGCGGCCTCAGAGGGTGAACGCCTGCCCCAGGGAGCTCTGCTTGTGCCAGGCCAGTCTGAGGTCTGACCACAGCCTCAGGTGAGCCGGAGCCTCGGCCCCTGTGCTCGAGGCAGCCGAGTGCTCGTCCTGGCCAGCAGCCCCTGAAGAGGCCGCACCATGGTACGACCAAGCAGTTTCTTCATACAGACGAGCCCCAGAGCAAGCCTGCTGTTCAAGGATGAGCAGGGTTTCTTCCCATTAGCAAGGAGGGGAAGGGCGTCCCAGGCAGAGGGAACAGCATTTGCAGAGGCCCACAAGTGTGACGCCGGGGAGCCCAGGGACAGTCGTGTGTTCCTCAGGGCCGCAGGGAAAGCGCAAAAGCAGTGGGTGAAGGGGCCGGAAGAGTTGGGGTTGGTCTGAGTCAGGGTTGTCAGCAGGAAACTGATTTCCACTTAATCGTTTGTCCGGAGGGAGTGAATATAAAGTCTGTACGCTGTATGCAGTGGAGGGAGTGGCCAGAGGGGGGTTGAAAGGAGCCGGTAAGATGTGGTGGGAAGGAGTAGGGGCCACCCCCACCCTGCATGGGACAGCGTGTGCAAGAGCCCAGGGGGAAGGACCCCCAACAGGAGCTCCGGTCTTAGGGAGCAGGGATCGTCACCCCATTTGCTCTCCCCTCTTGTCCTCTGATCCACTGGGGCTCCCATTGGCTGGACCCAACCAGAAGCCAGAGGGCCACAGGAGCCCATATGCCTTCTGCAGAGGCCAGCCTCCCAGGCACACAGAGGAGCAGAGAATGGATCCCCAGGGGCAGCTGGAGAACTACTAGCCCAGGGAGCCTCAAAGTCAAGCTTCAGTGCATGTGTTTTAATGTGAGTGCTCTGGGAGACAGCAGGACCATGTAGAGCAGGAGAAGGACATGGCCACCAAGTGTGGGGCTGATCCCCACTGGAGCCTGAGTGCAGAGTGCATGGGTGGGCAAGGGACTGGGAAACGGAGGCAGGGAGCCCTGCTGAGCTCCAAGCTGGACAGACCTGCCGTGGACTAGCGTGGTGCGGGGAGGGGCCAGGATGCAGGGATTTAGGTGGCAGAGTGGACCATAGGCCTCAGGGGTCCGTTGGCTGGGGAAGGAGGTAGAAGGGGGCGAGCCTGCCAAGGTGGCACGGGGGTCCTGGCTCAGCTTCGGCGGGCATGAGGGTGTTGCAGAGTTGGGAGAAGGGGACTTGGAGATGTGCTATTTCAGGTGTGTGCCCATCCGGGCCGGTGAGGGGGCAGGCTAGGGAGCAGCAGGCTAACAGGCTCTCTTTCTGTGCCTTGCAGGTGGCCTCAGCCCCGAGTCCAAGAAGATCCTGACGCCCACCCTCAAGAAGCGGGGCCGGGCCGGACGAGGGGAGGCAGCCAAGCAGGAGGAGGGGGCAGAGCGGCCCGAGCCCACACAGCACGTGGCCCTCAGCCTGTCTTTCAAGCGTTACGTTTTTGACACCCACAAGCGCATGGTCCAGTCTCCCTGAACGTTCCGGTGACCTCCCCCGGGGCCACCTTGCCCAGGCCCCGGGCTGGGCCACGATGCCAAATGCCCAACCAGATGTGCCTCGACCCCCTTTAGTACATCCCTCCCCATGACTCTGGAGGCACGGGCCCCCGGGCCTGGCACTGAGCCCCATTGAGAAGCCTGGAGGATGCGGGGGCAGTGTCACCAGTGCTGGGGCCGAGAGGGTCTGTCCCTCCACCCTGGCACCCTCCCACCTACTGGTGGCCAGTGTCTCCCCGGCTGCCCAGCCGGCAGCCATGTGAGGGCCAATCCATGCCCTGACCCCAGGTGGCCTGGCACTTGCCAGCTGCAAATAAATGTCCTGTGGTGCCTGCTCTCTCTGCTGGTCTCTGTGATTTCACTGGGAGTGTCCCCTGACCTCTGTTCCTAAGGGGAATATCAAGGGAATTGCCAGGGTTCCTTCCCAGAGTGGAGCTGGGGGAGGGACCAGAACTCAGAGCCCAGGGGGGCAGAGGGATCCACAGAGTGTCAGGCCCCTAGGCCAGACTGGGTGGCCCCTGGGGTCTCCTGGGCCTTGAGAGACATGGGGGTGCTCTAGGCAGCCAGGTCCTGAGAGGGCTCTGCCAGGAGGGGCACACATGGGGTTCTGGGGAGTCGTGGGGTGCCGGGCAGGGTGTCAGGGCAGAGGCAAGCCTGCTCAGTCATTCCCACACCAGGAGTCCCTAGACCTCAGCCCTTGAGCTTGGGGTCCGTACTCCCCAGGGTGTGGAGGTGCAGGCAGGTGAGGGAGCCCTGTGCAGAGTACACGGTGGGCCAGGGACCATGAGCACAGGCCTCTCCAAAGCCCAGGAAGCCCCCGCTCAGCTCCTCTGCCTCTGCCCCACAGGCCAGGCCACCCCACCCCGCCACCCGAGCTGTGGATACTCGGGAAAGAGTGAGATGGTGAAACCAACTTAATGAGGGGAAATCTCATCTGTAGGACAAACAGACGCGCTGGTGTTCCTTGATTTGGCCTCCAGACAGACGCAGGGGCCACCCTTTTATCCTGGTGATCGGTGCATTGTGCTTTAACTTGCAGAACTAGCGTCAAAGATACTAACGGGGGGCGGTGGCAGTCCACGGGCTTGGAGGGGTGCGGTCCTGGGGCTGAGGGCAGAGAGGAGAAGGGAGTGGCGTGCAGGACGCACTGTATGTGCGGGGCCTGGGCCACAGGCGGCAGTGTGCTTGAAGGGCACGTGTGAGGGCAGCTGGCCAGCAGGCCTCCCCAGCCCTCACAGGGACCGACCATTAGGCCAGGCCAGGGACAGCAGTCAGGAGCGACAGCTGAGGGCTGGAGGCTGGGAGAGTTCAGGCCCGGCCCCCACTTCTCCCCGGGCTGAGAATGAACTGGGAGAGGGCTGGGTGCAGGGAGAGGGAGGCACTGCTTGCAGACCGTCCAGTGGTTCCTTAGAGCCTCACTGCCACCGCCTGAGGGGACACCTCCAGTAACAGCAGTGGCACTTCTTGCCTGGCCCTCAGCCTTCTGCAGGCCAGGGTCCAGGCTCCCCCCCCAGGCCACCTCCCGTGCCTACTCAACCCTTTGGAGTGGACACAGCTGGGAGGAGCTGGGGTCTCCCCAGGCCCTGCCCCTTAGAGGAGGAAACTCCCTCCAGCATCATCCCCAGCGTGGAACTCTAAGGCCAGAGCTGCTGGGTGCCCCCCAGCCCGGCCGAGTCCTCCCTGACCGAGGGGTGAGAGGCTGGCCCCTCCCTCTGGGCCCCTTCTGGGCGTCCCTGCAAGAGTAGCCCTGGGCTCGGTGACTCCTCCCTGGGCAGCTGCCCCTCCTCTCTGTGCCTCCGGGTCCTCCACCTGAACCCACCTCCAGGGTATCCCCTGCCCCGTCCTGCCCTTGGCCACATCATGTGGCCAGCAGAGCCCCACCCCCACCCCCCGCAGGCATAGAGGGGTGCCCACTGAGCAGGACCTAGTTCTGGGGGCAGATCCATGGGGGAGAGGGAGATAGCGTGGACTCAAGCCACTGCCTGGCCTCTCTGCTTGTGTGACCTTGGGCAAGTCCCTTAACCTCTGTGCCTCAGTGTCCCCACGTATAAAATGAGAACAGAAGCAGCTGTTTTGTGGGGCTCTTCAGGTACTGGGCCCATCGTGTTACCCACTGCCCTGAGGATGGGACCAGCAGGGCACAGGGTCTCACACAGGAAGGTGAGGGGCCTACAAACCCCTGACCAGTGGTGCGGGCCGCCCCAGGCCCAGCTGTGTGCCAAATCAAACATCTTTCTGTGACCGTCCCCACAGCCACCTGCACCTGTCTCCCTGCCTCCCACCTCACCTGAAGATCACACTCCTTAAAGCCCAGGGAAGGAGGCGGGCTCAGGTGGAGGACACTGAGGCACAGAGGGGAAGGGAGAGCCGCCTGGGGTATGACTGACTCCCAGAAGCCTCAGCCCCCCCTCCCCCCCCC